TCCGACCTGAAAAGTCTCAGAAAGTATCGAAACACACAGAAAATTCGGAAAAAAAGTATTCCGAAATATCCAATGAAAAAGTAAAAAACCTCGGAAAAAATACCGAAAATTCTCAAAATTATTAAAAAACCTTGACAGCTCACGAAAAGTTTTTAGGAATTCCCAAAAAATAGTATTCTGAATTACTCATAAATATCCTAAGAAAAGCAAAAGATTTCGAAAAGACATGAAAATTTTCAAAAACTACCGAAACATACAGACAATTCGGAAAAATATCTAAATAAATGTCGAAAAGTTCTAAAAAATCTAGAATATTTTTTAAGAAATCAAGTAATGCTTAGACAAATTTTAAAAAGTCTTGAAAACCTTCGAAAATTTTCGAAAGGAAAAAAAGTTACCGAAAAAGTTTTGAAAAATTCTAAATGCATACAGTCGGTCAATAAAGTTTAGGTACAGCGAATTTTTTACAATACGGCAACTATTTTTTAAATATTTTATTTTCAAATAATTTTTTATAAAAATATGGTTAATTCTATAACAAAAAACTTAAAAATCAGAGTTCCAAACCTTGTGCAAAATTCAAGAAAATTCTGCGAAATTTCATTCAAATATTGCACTTTTTATTTACGCTCTCTAGAAAAAAGTTGAGTATGCAGTTTTTTAGCCCATTCAATTTTAGTATAACAAAGTGCAAGTTTGAGGTAGCTACAAATTACCATTGATTTTTAGCAATTTTTTGTGGAAGGTGTCGCTCATATTAAACAATATTTGATAATTTTTTTAAATGGAAAAAATGTGCGACACCTTCAACAAAAAAATTGCTAAAAATCAATGGTAATTCGTAGCTTCCTCATACTTGCACGTTATTATACTAAAATTGAATGGGCTAAAAAACTGCATACTCAACTTTTTTCTAGAGAGCGTAAATAAGTGCAATATTTGAATGAAATTTTGCAGAATTTTCTTTAATTTTGCACAAGGCTTGAAACTTTGATTTTGGGGTTTTTGTTGTTGGTATTTTTATAAAAAAAAATAGCGAAAAATAAAATATTTAAAAAATAGTTGCCCGTATTGTAAAAAATTCGCTGTAGCTAAACTTAATTGACTGAAAATCGGGAAAAATTCTGAATTATTCTGAATTATTCATCCCTAGTGCGAAAAGCGGAAGACGCCAGCCTCATTTTCTGCATCGTGCTCGAAAACTTCTTAACTCTCAGTCTCACCTTATACTTTCTGTGTATGAGAAAATGTGCATACCCATGCTGCTCTCTGGTACTTATATGTACATAAACATAACTGGAGATTAGACAAAAACAAGTCAGGTTACGCGTTTAAAAAGCGCAAAACTATTTTCGTTTCTCCCATTTTAGTTACATATGTACATATGTATCTTATCATACATACATACATATAAATATGTATGATCGCAGAGGGCTGCGTATAGTCTTATATACATTCACTATTTTCTATATAGCATATATGTATACCTATACGAAAAAGACTGTAAATTTGACACCTTAAAAGTAAAAATTACAATTAGTTATACTTTAGCCTACTTTCCTTTGCTCGCATCGTCAACAATTTTCATTTAAATCTTACATACGCTGCTGTATATAAGCAAATTTTATTTTTATAGACATTTAGTGAAGACTTTTTGGAACTGAATCGTGTGTAGTTTGGAATTATTTAGGTATCAAAGTCATTCCTTAGTTTTTGTACTTTCAACATTCATAACCTCAAAATCATATAAATAAATTAGTAAAAAAAAAAAATAGCATTACTACAACATGCTCATTTTCGTGCATTTGTACATATACGTCCTTGCATTAGCGCATATAAGTCGTAAAATTTCAAATAAGTATCGAAATCCATAAAAAGCAATGTCGCCAACAAAGCACGCATTTGGAGCAAATTCTGTGAATATATTTTTTGAAGTTCCTTTTGCTTTTATTATTTCTTTATGTGGTCGACGGCGCTTTTTTTGTTGCCACACAAATTCATATTTGCAACACTTTTCCACGCCCATACACATAGATAAATTAAAAAATAAAAAGTACTTTTTTTGTTGATTTTTTTTTTTTAATTTGTAGAGGCTTTTACGTTGGTAGCACAAAGCTTTTGCCTCAGAAGACCCCTAGTAAAATTTTCCGGAGAGTAATTTCCGGAGTAGTACACCAGTCCTCTAACGACCTTTCAAATTTGCTTTTTGCGGGATTTATTGAAGTAAGGATCAAAATTACCTAATAGGTTAAAATGTTCTACGAAAATATTTCCCATGCAATTTTATTATATATGTTTTAACCTTTAATTTCGCTCAGACATATATTTTAACTATTTTTTTGAAAACTACTTAGGCGGAGACATGAAAACTTTAGTAGGCCATGAAATAACAATACGAGCTAACTTTCGCAAATCCACCAAGTGTTTTACTACTGGATGGGTATACTTTCAGAAAATGTTAACAAAGTCCGGGCTGGTTTGGGCTGTCCTACAGTGTAATTTGAGTTAAACTTTTTAAACAGGTGGCCAATCTCTTCAAGCTCCGCAAACATCTCCGACTCGACTAAGAAGTTTCACTTCGAAAAATTTTTGGAAAATTTGAAAAAATTGGAATTAAATCGAATTTGCACCACGAAATTTCGAATCGAATACTCGAATGGTTGGGCAATGTTCGAAATTCGGAAAACATCGAATTTCAACCCCCCACTACCCATCCCTAATATATGTATTACACTTTAATGGAAAGTCGAGGTAATATTAAGTAAAATTTACCAAATTTCAAACTGTTTTTAGGTGTAGTTTTAGACTTTGTAGTTTATTTATAAATCAACAGGGATTTTTAGCAGTTTGAATCTTGCACTTCATTAGACTAAAATTGACATACTCGAAAATTTTCTAGAAAGTCTGAATAAAGAGTTTAAAATTTTGATGAACATTTTTCGAATTTATGTGAACTTTATATAAAATGTGAAACTTTGATATATATATGGTTTTTATTATAGAATAAACTGTATTTTCATAAATAATTAATGCAAACAAATTTTTAATGAAAATAATTGTGAATATTATATTACAACAAGGTGTACTATTTCATTTGTCGCCAAGTATATATGTATGTATGTATGTACCTACTTACTTATAATTTAAAAAATGTTTTACATTTACGTTAAATTTTCAAATACTTATAATCTTGATTAGTGCCTTTTCTTGTGTTTTTTTTTGTGTGCTTCGTAGTACCTATTTCCGCTAATTATACATATATATTATTTTATGATAAAATTTCATAACATGGCTAGAGTCTGTTTTTTTTAAATATCAACGAATTTGTGGTCTTCTTGTTCTTCCTCCTTAATGGCGCTGTAACCACCTTAGCGATTTTAGCCGAGTCCACAACAGCATGCCAGTCGTATCTCTTCTGTTTTAACTGACGCCAATTCAGAATCCCAAGTGAAGCCATGTCCATCCACACCTGGTCTTTCTCTTACTTTGAGGAATTAGCTATTTAGTAATATACTTACTCAAACCGGTACCAAAATCTCAACAAACCTCATATGACCATAAAATCATAAAAAAATACCAGTCAACACTCTTTCCTGCTTGGTAACTTCACACTAAATAATTATAGCACAACGTATATGTGCTCACCAAAAGACATGACAATGTCAAGTGTCCTTTGGCACCACTTGCCACAATCAAGTTACCTTCCCCTCCCCCCTCCAACCAACACCTATGAAAAAATTTCTTATCCTTCTTGCTTGGTTTACGGCACCTTCTTTTGTTGCGCTTTCAATTGTTGCTACTGCTGTTGCAACTATGTACTGAAGTGGCACGTAAATATGTATGTATGCACATACATATATTTCTATTCTCTCTTAGCATTGCTGCTGGCGCTTGCTGTTGGTGTTGGTATTTTGCCAGTTTATTCTCTGTAGTAAAATTTGCAAAATTATGGCTACTTATGCGGTTAAGCGCACATGTCACTAGCGT